TAGAGGAAAGGTGCAAATCTCCAAGAGAAGATGGGAGTCTGTGTCTCTTGTGCTTTCTTATATTTCTCATGCTCCATTTTTTTGTCATTGGGTCACGACCCTTGGCTACACATCTTTTTTTTAGGGTTGACTGTGGCAAGTTTTTGTGTGGTTATAGGAATTCATGGGCAGCTGAGTGAGCAACAGGGAATGACATTGTGCTCCAGTACCCTACATGGAAAAGGATGTGGACGATCCAAAAATATATGGTGATCCATCTTTTGGGTAAATGGTGTGTAAGTGCCACTGTTTGTTTTTTACCAAAGCATCCTAAGGCAATGGGATTGTAGAGCCCATTTTTAAGCTCTAACCTAATTGAAATCAGCCTTATTTAAGTCAAACAAAATATACTAATGCTGATTTGCTAGAAACAACTGGTAAAATACAGATATCTAGAAGTAAAGCACACAATCTACAAACATTAAGACTTACTAGGCAAGAAATAGGTTGGCATCTGTGCAGAGGACTTGCTTTCCTAGATCTAGCAGAGTTGTTATCAAAGATGAGTATTACCAAGTACTTTTTGCTCCCTTCTAACCGCACAGAAACTATCTTTTAGAACATTGCAAGATTCATAAACTGATGTATCTGTTTAAGAGTAGCCCTCAGTCTTTGATTTTTACTTTGCCTTCCTGTTTTAGTGCATTAGGCTTGAGATTTGCTTTCACTGATACACCTGACTTTTTTTTTCTTCAGTCTATTGCTTTTTTACAGCAACAATTAAAAGTTTATCTTTTGCCTTATGTATGCAAGTTTTTCAGTCCTATGTGGTCACACTAGTCTGCAAAGAAGATCTTCTTTGGTTCTTGTGAGATTGAGCAGGTCTTTTCAAAGAAAGCCTCAGATCCCATGTTTCACGAGATGTGCGTTTTTGGGCAAGTACATACCAATAACTAAAGAAGAGTTTTGCATGTCAGCAGAACCCTTTCAGGTTATGGATGACTGCATAAATTCTCTTACTGTTTTTCATTGCCAAACTAATTTCAAGGGAACAAAATTCATCTCAACTTACATTATATTACAAGTGCAGTAACTTCAAAGAAATATTCAGCGAGAGATGAAAATAATGAAGGAAGAAAAAACTCTAGATGAAAGTAAAGCATTGTTACTGTGGCATCAGTATTGGCTAGTGTTGCATTACAGCTAGACTTCAGCTTTTGTTTCAGGTTAAAATGATACTGTTTTGAAGGCAGAGTTTTGAGTGGGCTTTAATTTTCAAGTAAGCTGCATTCAAGCGTCTACGTCATTGTAGGATTTCTGAAAGCGAAATCATTATGTGACAGGAAAAAGCTAAAGGTGTATGGAGTAGATCTGAGACAAGAGACTTTGTAACTATTCCTAAGATAAACTTTGACTGTATATTTAAAGTCAGGCAAGCATTTCAAAATAGCGATATTTCACCTTTTAATGTAATTTTTGGGAAGTAAGATGTAGGTATTGCATTCCTGCTTAGTATCAAAGTTAGCTCTCAATCTATAAGGCAGATTAATGGCAGAAAAAAATCACAAACATTTAATTCAAAACAAACTCACATTTGGTTTCTCACAGATGACTTGATAGCACTAGCTGCTCTCTTCAAACCAATAAACATTGCACCAAAGTGCAGCACAAAACACCTCACTTGTATGAGTCTCTCCTCAACAATATGATCCTTTTCTCTGTATATAGATAGAAAAGACAAATTAAATATGGCAGCCGTATTAAAGTTTTATGAGATGTATGTTTCAGAGCCTTCCTTCCATCAAGTGTGATGTTAGATATATTTCACTCCCTTTTCTTATACAAATAAAGCTTGCCTTCTCATATAAAAAAATCAATATTGTTAAAAAGAAATGCAGCTGAGCCTTCAATAAACGTCTTAACACCTTTCTCATTCACACTTAGCTAAGATCAAAGCTGCAGGCTTAGATGCCGATATATTCTATGGAAATAGAATTAATTAATCTTCCTTTATATTTTCAGTACAACTTCCTCACTTTTATATTTAGAATTTCTTGAGTACTCAAGCCTTGTACTGTCCATTTGCACAGTGGTAAACTTTCTTATGTATATTTTTATTATGATTATTATATAATGTCAGCACTTTAAGAATATTTCTCCGGAAGTACTTATTCCTCCACGCCCAGCACACAGGGAGCTCTTTAAGTGGGCCTGAATAGTTGGATCCAGCAGTTCTTTCCTGCTCTGGGGTGGTGGGAATGCCTTTTGAGTGCTTCCAATCTGTGTAGGGCTCAGGAACAGTTGTGCAGCATTCTTCACCAGTGCTCTCCTTCTACATGAAGAGGAAACTTAGGCTCTTGGCCAAGTAGGTGCTGTCGAAGATGCCAGCAAATCCCTCTTTTGCACAAGGAGGACACCAAGATTCTGTGAAGCTGTAAAAACATGTTATTACTATTCAATTTAAACATGTTTTTTATCCCTCCCTACAATTTCACTTACCTGTGTCCTTATGCAAGTCCATCATAACAGAAGAAAACGCAGCTGAGGAGGAACTTAAAATGAGACCTTTTAACTTAGAGACTGAACATGAACTTCCTGTGCATATCTGAGGTAATCTCAAGTGAGATTATTTTATTCTTTACATACACTGTATCAAGGAACTCCTACCATGTATACAGTTTTGGATTCCTTAGAAAGTGTTTTGAAAAGGCAAGAGAGTTCAAAAAAGTGCAGAAAGAAGTTCTATAAAGCCTTTCTTGTAGTGGGAAGAGTAATAATCCTAGTTTACAAACTAATGAAGGCAAGGCTATGAGTTACTTCACGGGATTCTGAAGACCTTAGGGGACAGATTTCTGAGACAAGCTATGTCATTAAGTTTGCAGATGAAATTATATTCTGTGGCTGGAAGTTGAAACTACGCAAATTCAAACATGTAAAAAAAATAATTCTTAGATCACCTTCATGGTTTAAGCATCCGCCTTAAATCTGTGTTCTTTGAAGGACTGCTACAGTGCTTTTAGCATATAGGAACTGAAAATAGAAGATTCTTGGTGACTCCATTTCTTGTGATATGAAATGATATGGTCAGACTGACAAAGCTTTTGATCTTACAGTTCTGTTAATATAATTTTTTCTTTTGAAACTCTAGCAAGCTTCATAGCTTTTTGTTTCTACTTTTTATTGTGTGAGTTATGGAAAATCAAATGAGACTCTGAAATCAAATAACATTGCAGCATTGCAGCAGATAGCTTATCCTAGTGTCGTAAAAACACATAACTTTGCTCTGAGTTAAATGAGAAATGCACTACTATTTATTTTGACAATTAAACTTCAGCATTTCAGCAAAACCTGGCATTTTTTTCAGAATACTTTTACCATGGAAAAAGAAGCAGTCACCTTTCCAAATACATTTTGACAAATATTACTCTGCTCTAATGTGTTGGTCAGGATTGGTCATCTTGAAATATCATCACCGACTACCATATTGAGCATCACTCTATATGATTTCTTATGACAGAAGACTTTTTGGAAGGATGAGTATTCACAAATATTTAAAAGATGGTAGCTATCCAAGGATCTCATAAACACATAATGAACACAGGACACTAAGCTCTCATGTCCCTATTCTACAAGTTTCAGTCAGCCTTCAGCTGAGTAAACTTTGTTTCAGATACCTCCTGAGTAAAGAATGAATGAACAAAATTCGGAAATAATTTATTCAAAAAAGAGGGGAAATCCAATATAGCGGTAATTGTCGACTGGAGCTCTAGATTCAGTTTCTTTGTTTGCACAAGGGCTTACATGGGATCCTTGACAAGTTTTATATTCTCCTTAGCTACATCTATCCTGTACTTCTGGCAGTGCATCCAAAGAAATATTTTAGCTCTATATATGCCCACCATTTCCATATCTTTTGATATTCACAAAGAAACAGCTTAGATACTTACCTGCGAAGAAGCTCTGGTGCGCTGCAGCCAAGTGCCAGTCAGGTTGTCTGACACATCAGGAACCTGGGAGACACGGTTTTGTGCAGTGAAGTGCAGCAGCTGTGTCTGTTCCTGAGTCTCTTACTGCTGTTCCACCAGGCTGTGATTGTGAACTGCTTCAGGGGTGTTAAGCTACCCTGGCATCTTAATATATACTTTATTGGTCAGCAAATCAGTTTTTTTATGATTTCATAGAATTACGAAATGGTTGAGGTTGGAAGGGACATCTTGTACAACCACCCTGCTCAGGTAGGGCCGGAGTCAGGACCACGTCCAGGCACCTTTTGAGTAGCTCCAAAGAGGGAGATTCCAGAACCTCCCTGGGCAGCCTGTGCCAGTGCTCACAGCAAAAAAAGCATTTCCTGATTTTTGGTGGCAGCCTGCTGTGTTTCAGCTTGTGCCTGTTGCCGGTTTCATACTCTCACCCTAGTAACACTGTGGAAGAGCATTTGTCTTCTTACTAGCATCATATTTTACATCTTAAAAGGAGAGCAGAACTAAAAAAATGTTGTTCTACATTTATTTTTTGTCAGATTTGTAAGTAATTTTGTTGCAATAAGGACAGTAAAGAAAGATCAATAACGGCTGTCTTAATACTGTGCCAAAATATCCTAAACATACCAACCCTGTTTCTAATGAAGTCAGATCATGTCCAGTGTTCAGATGTTTGCTTTTGACATTAAAAAGTAGCTGTTGCATTTTTAATAGTATCACCTATTTGTTAAGAATCTAAGAGTGAGCAGAATGTGTGAATGTGCTTTGCTTTCTATACTGTAGTTTCGTATTTATTCTGAAATACTAGTTGAAGCTATTCTAAACATAAAATATTCTGAGCTATTTTACCAGCATTTTTGTGGGTGATCATTCTGCCTTGGTCTAGAAGCTGTTTATACTCTCAAGGTGATGGCATGACTTGTTTTTTCAGCACCTCAAATTTTTAAGGTGGGGGGGAAACTAATACTCTGTCTTTTGATATTCATAGGGGATTCAAAATGCATTTGAAAATAATATTTTAATGTTTTTTCTTCTCTTTAGAAAATACAAAGGATATTCTTGTGATATATGAACGAGAAGCAGAAGAGTGGGCTCTGTATTTAAAATATCTTTTTGGACACATAGTGAACAAAGAAGGAATCTTACTCTATGATCTAGAGACTTTGTCTTTGAAGCACCAGGAGCTACTCTCTTTACATCATTATAAATGTAAACTCCTAATAGTATCATGTGGACTTATTGACTGCCTGAATAGAAGGAGAAGGTCTTTTCTGGAGCAAGTTCTAAAACCTCTGGATAATGTGGTGATTCTACTTTGTGGGGTGGAGAATTCAGAGAGTCTTCATGAGATACTGAACCTAGATGGAGGCAGCAAAGAGATTTCTACTGATCAGGAACCTGAGGAGTATCTCTCTGTTGTAACGGAAATTATTCAACCAGGTAATATAAAACTGAAAACTTTGTATGATTATTAAAGAGGTTTTTTAGCTGTATTAATATAATTAGGAAGATTAAAAAGTTGTAATTTCGATTTTTTGGAGCAGTTATGTCTCTTCCGCTTGATCCAACAGTTTTAGTGTCATGATACATTTCTTTTTGAAATGTGATAAAACTGTTGTAGTTCAGCTTTATTTTCACAGGGAAGCAACTTTGGAAAGTCTAAAATCTGCCACTGGCACTACCATCACTACTTCATCATGAGAACGAAGAGTTGACTTGCTTCTTTGTTTCCTGAGTTTACAAATGGCTTAATTTCCTGTGTGAAACACAAAAGCTGTAAGAGCAGAAGTTCTCTTCCACTTCAGCCAGCGCAAGTAGCAAGTCTATACTGGAAGGACTAAAACTATCCAGTTTGAATGTGTTTGCACATCCATGGAAACTACAAAGAAGCATTAAGGTAAAAATTGGCACTTCTGGAACGTAAGAAAAACCTATCTGAGGGTGAGAGGTACTGAAATGGAAAAGTCTGTGCACATGATTTGGTTTAACCCAAAGTTTAATTTTGCTGGGCTGCACAAATGAAAAAAAAGAATTAGCTTTAGAAAGACAAATATATGGGCCACTTTGGAAAGACGATGTAAGTTGTGCACAGATTTCAGGTAGATGGCTGTGTGTTTTCCTTTGAGAACATGTTTACTACTGCTTCTTTGTAGTTTCTAGATTTCTTACTTTCTCTCAGCTCTTGCTATTTTGTCATAATTATGTCTACTAAACAGAGCATTTTGTGTTTGTTACTTGCAAGGTTCCCTCTTATTGGCATGGCAGCTTGTGCTTGAGAAAGATATCTTGTGGTTCAGGATATCAGGTTCATAGATTAATCTGCTTTTGGATGCAGATGAACAACCACAAATACACTTTTCAACACAGAGGTAGAGAGACTCCAGCTGAGGCAGAATGACCTAGCTGAATGCCCCTGCTGTCATATGCTTGAGCAGATAAGCTTGAGCATACTATAAAGCTTTCAAACCTGCCCACAATGTGTCTACACAGTCTGACTGTATCAGATCAATGCTTTCAAAACTATATTTTAGACTCCTCTTTCCCAACAATCTCCTGTTCTAACATTTCTTGCTGTTAAGTATTTATTAACCTTTTCCTCAGTGTATCTTTTTTTGAGCATCTCTCAGACTTTAAGTTTTGGAGTTGAAGTTGCCTGATTTTTTTTCAGGAGGTAACATTTGCAGTTTCTGACGGTGTCTGATGAGTAGCTTCATACTGAAATTCCTTGGCAGCTTTTTAGTGAAATGAAAACAGTAGGTCTGTTGCCATAAGGGTGGCAGAATAATTTTTACTGCTTTAAGAGTGGTAAATCAGTCTTTCAAGGGTAGGAAGAGACAACGAAATTTTCCAGTCGGTTAGCAGAAAAGATACTAAGATAGCGTGCACCTAGAGATAGCAAGTAGACTGTGATTTAGAAGGTTTTAACAAGCTGTTCATCCTTGGGCTTGTGTGGAACCAGACCTAAGTGGGGCTTTCCTAGTCAAGACCCTCATTATGGAGATTAGAGGGTAAGAAAACATGAAAAATTATTTATGAAAGGCCAGAAGTGAGCCAAAATTAAATGTGGCAGTGAGAGATGGCGACCACCACCTCAATTCAGATCGCTGAAAACTCAACCCCCTGCCTCCATCCTCAAGGAGCATGCGTGCCAATTTAAATGAGAGGTGAAGCTAATTTTGATATACTGATCCAGTGATAAATTTAACTGTTATCACTAAGGAGTAATTGTAGAATTAGTGGCAAGTTAGGTGTGTTTGTACTAATAAGTTACAAAATAAATACGTTGCAGTTTTTTGATGAGGTATGCTAGCTTCAGCTAGCATCCAAGCTTGGCTCACTTTCTTAATAAACCAATGACGTCTTTCTAAACTATCGTTTGGTTTAGAGAGTTCTTGCTTTACAGTTGCTGCTTTCGGCAACAGGTCTATACTGTGTGTGTCTATATAGGAAGGACCCCAAGACAGTTGACTCATGCATGGGAAATTGCAGACTTTTGTGTAAACAGTTTCCTAGGAGACCGTTGATGGTGCTTTGCTTAAGTCTATGCATTCACAAAAATACGTATTGCATCTGCCATTGGGATTTTATTTGCATTGTAATGTCAAGTAACTAACCGATGCTCAAATGATCTTTTCCTTGGCAGTGATCAATATCAGCAACCTCAGAGACAAGTGCAAAGTTGAATTAGTCAATGCATTGTGGAAGGTCTCAGACTCAATGTGTACATCTTTACCAGGGATGCACAGGCTGTGGCTGGGATCAGACAAGTTCAATTGACTGAACTAGATTCAGCACTGGGAGTAGTGTAGTTGTCTAGTGCTTCAGGGTGTAAGCCCTCCTCCATACACATAGCTGAGAACTGCTCTGGCCCTGTTTTTTGTGTTGTAGTGTGCTCTAGCCATCAGGCAGGCCAGCTTAGATTGGTGCTTGCTAGGAGAGCTCTACACTGTTCTCTGTTGCACAATGAAACTATTCGAAGTGCAAGATTTGCTGCCAACTGAGTCTTGATTTAAGCTCTGAGGAATGAAGGTGTGTATGTGACTGTTGCAATGTATGTATTTATCATACTCTTTTGTTGAATCTTGTTAAACTCTCAGCCTATGCGATATCAGTGGCAGGGATTTTGACAGATTATGAGCCCAGAGAACAGATTTTTCTGCTCTATTTAAAATGGTTTGCTAAGGGATTATTAAGTATACTTGGATTATTTTTCCTCTGGAGCAATTTTTTTTTTTATGCCTTTCTTCAAGACTATGCACTCACAACACTTCCTGTCTCTCCTCATATGGTTCACATAAGCCTGTGGAAGCCACTCTGCAAGATATTTGAAAAGTCATGGCAATCAGGTGAAGTCCCTAGTGGCTGGAAAAAGGAAAACATTGCATCCATTTTTAAAATGGGTAGAAAGAAGGACCACAGGAACAACAGACCTGTCAGTCTCACCTTTGTGCCTGGAAAGATCATAGAATGGATTCTCCTGTAAGTTCTGCTAAGGCACATGGAGGTCAGGGAAGTGATTCTAGACAGTCAGCATGGCTTCACCAAGGGCAAGGCCTGACAAACCAACCCAATGGCCTTCTGTGATGGAGTGACTACATCAGTGGACAAGGGAAGAGCTATAGATTTCATTTGTCTGGACTTCTGTTAGGCCTTTGACATGATTCCCACAACGTCCTTCTCTCTGAGTTGGAGAGATTTGGACATGATGAGTAGACTGTTTAGTGGACTAGGAAACAATTAGATGGTTGCAGTCAATGGCTCAATGTCCAGATGGAGATCTGTGACAAGTGGTGTCCCTCAGGGGTCCATGCTGGGACCTGTACTGTTTAATATCTTCATTGATGGCATAGACAGTGGGATCAAGGGCACCCTCAGCAAGTTTGCAGAGGACACCAAGCTGTGTGGTGCAGTTGACACATTGGAGGAACAAGATACCATCCAGAGAGACCTTAACAAACTTGGTAAGTAGGCCCATGTGAACCTCATGAGATTCAATAAGGCCAAGTGCAAGGTTCTGCACTGGGGTCAGGGCACCCTCTGGTATTGATACAGGCTGGGGGATGAAGGGATTGAGAGCAGCTCTTTGGAGAAGGACTTGAGGGTACTGGTGGATGAAAAGCTGGACAGGAGCCAGCAGCATGTGTTCACAGCCCAGGAAGCCAAAAGAAGCATCAAAAGAAGCATGGCCAGCAGGTCGAGGGAGGTGATTCTGCCCCTCTGCTCTAGTGAGTCCTCACCTGGAGTACTGTGTCCAGCCCTGGAGCCCTCAGCACAGGAAAGACATGGACCTGTTGGAGCAAGTCCAGAGGAGGGCCACAGAAATGATCAGAAGGATGGAACACCTCTTGTATGAAGAAAGTCTGAAAGAGTTGGAGTTGTTCAGCCTGGAGAAGTCTCTAGGGAGACCTTATTGTTGCCTTCCAGTACTTAAAGGAGCCTGTAAGAAAGATGGGGATGATGTTTTTAGCAGGGCCTGTTGTGACAGGACCAAGGGGTAATGGTTTTAAACTGAAAGCAATAGATTTGGACTAGATATAAGGAAGAAATTTTTAACAAGGATAGTGAAACACTGAAGCGGATTGCCCAGAGAGAAGCCAGGTAGAAACCCCATCCCAGGAAACATCAGGGTCAGGTTGGATGGGGCTCTGAGCAGCCTAATCTGGTTAAACATATCCTTGCTTACTGCAGAGAGTTTGGACTAGGTGACCTTTAAACAGTGCTTCCAACCCTAAATATTCTATGATTCTATGGTCATGTTCTGTTGCTTCTAAATCTTTTCAGTGCTTGTTCCTTGTATTTCTGCTTTTGGAGATAGGGATGCAAACACTTTCAGGTATGTTTTTCATGCTTTTCCATTCCTTTATTTCCCTTAAGCTGTTCATCACTGTTAACTTGTTCATTCATGCATTTGTACCTTCTTATCTCCTAAGTATTAACAAGTGCTGTCATTCTACCAAAGTCTAAAACTTCAGTGATATGCTTTAATTACAATGATTATACGGTACCATACAGTCATGCACCACTGCCACTAAATCCTCTTAATCTCTTAGGACAGTGGGCCATCAAGATCCTAGGTCATATCGATGCCAGGGCTCAGGAGTGGCTTGTGAGTTCTTAGGACAACTGAAGAGAGATGCTAAATCAGGTTGTTACCTCATAGTCCCGAAGAGTGTTAGTAACAGCATAGCTTAGGCATTAGTAATCACCACCCTTCCATTACAGCTTTCTCCATGCACTGCAGAGTTTGTAGGCAAGATAAATTCTCAGCTCTCTCTTCTCTCCTAGATGCTGTCCTCTTTTGCAGTCTCTACAGTCTGAGTACTCAAATGTAGGCAGTCAATGACGATGGATTTTCTTAGGCTGCCTGCTAGAGTTGTGCTGATGAGTACTTTATCATTGTCTCCAGTGGGCAAGCGTTTCACTAGATTTTGACAAATTCACAGATTTTAGACTTGGAATCCCTGAAGAAAAGCAGCTAAAGTTCTAACAAGAACCAAAGCTAAAGAGAAGACAAAACCACTAGAATTTTTGTTTCTGAATACTGAATACATTGGATGGGGGAGGGGTGTGAACTAAAGTCTTGGCTGTAAAGATTTCTCACATGGACACCCAAGACTCGGTAGGTAGGGGGGAGCTGTCAGGTGGTTCTGGCCTTGTTCACTGCCGCGGGAGGTTGCAGTAGATGAGACCACACAGTTGTGTCTCCCTTTACTCCTTCCACAAAGTATTTAGCATGCCAGTGTTGGTGTTTTAAGGCAGTGAGGTCTTGTAGTTATTGAGGAGGACCTCAAATGCCAATCAAACTTTTTAATTAAAATGAAAATAATCTCTATGAATTTATATTAACCAGAAGAGCAGAAGGGGTGTTTTGTTAGCTGACATGTGTTGCGGTAGAGTCCTTGTTTCCATTTTGTCCTCCCAACAAGTCTTTGAACAGCTCTTCGGGACTGCTGCTAAGATTATCAGATTAGTAACACTTTCTGAGGTTTGATATTTCTTCATCTCCATACAGAATGATTGCTGGGATGCAATCCTTTAACAGGGAGGACTGTCAGCAAAACGTATGGCTAATGTCACTAGCTTATTTCACGTGGCACATGATCCTGGCGATTTTGAACCAGAAGAGAAACTGAAATGGCAGCCTGGAGGTGGCAACCACAGATAGGATGTTGAGACTGCCATAACCTGCTGCTTAGACTGTTCTAAGTTCTTTGTTCTTCTCTTGTTTAAGCAAAATCTGGAGAAGACTTTTATTTGTCAGAGAATCAGGTTTCCTGGCAGCTCATGTTTCTGTCTGCCTAGTCATGGTGACCTGGACCCTTGGATTCTGAAGTACACATCATGCATATGATGCTTTTTCTTTTTATTTTTGACACCTGGAAAAGTGAAGGTACTGACATCTTAAAGTGAATGTAGTTTTGACTGCATGTAGGACGAATCATTAAAATTTTAGTAATAATGACAGTCAAATTATTAGAACATAAGCATTACTGCAACAACATTTACTAATTTAATGTGCTGTGATCTTCTTGTTGCTTATTTAGGTTTTAGATTTTGTATTGAAAATGAATGAATGGAGTTATCATCATTAGTCTGCTCTTTCAAGGTTGCAAGTGGACATCATCCAAATTTGTGTCTTGTTTATGGCATAACAGTCATCAGTCAGTATTTAGTTGCAGTTGTGAGGCTACTTCTAAAGCTTGCAAGTAATTTAAGTTTTCCAGCAGGTATTTTGCAGCTGACCTGTAAAAAGGCTGTGTGAATCTATAGCCTTACATGTCATCTATATAATATATTATTGACCATCATCAGGTTTGCATTGTGGTTACCAGTCTCAACTCCTGAAAAGTTATTATTGGAAGGTGTTTAGAGAAGTCCTCTGGAAGTGCATTCTCTGTATATTTTTTGACACACAAGTGTTGTTAAACAAAATTAATATTTGTAATTTCACCATTGTGCATTTCTATTAAGTTACTGTCAACTTCTTAGAAATAAGACAAAATAAGAGTTGTGTTGTTTTCCAGTTTAAAAAAGTCCTTATACCTATTGCTGAAAAATTAAAATGTAGCAAAAATATATAATTAATATTACAATATCCTAACACCTATTGCTGAAAAATTAAAATGTAGCAAAAAATTAATTAAAAAATAATTAAAAATAATTAATAGTAATATTACAATAGCAAAAGAACAACTTTTGCGGGGTATAGAATCAGATTTTGCTCTTGGTGGGATCTCTCTGTACTTATTTAAATGTCTCTGAGGACAGAACTTTGTCCAGAAAATGTTATTACAGTTACAAAGATAGACGTTCAGAAGTCAAAATGTTACAGGTACAAAGTAGCCTGTTAACCTGTAGGTATGACCCTTGTCCATAGCACTGATTGGCTTTAATTGAGTAGGTGCATTTTTCCCACCCCCACCAAGAACCTGCCCTGATTAGTAGACATGATAAATAGTGCTCAGTTAATTAGCAGTTATTTGATGCTTTGTTTTGTGTTCGAGTTTGCATTTGCATTATTTATGCATTGAATGTCACTCAAATCCTGTTGAGAAAACAAAATTATTAATTTCCTAATGTGCTTTCCTTTCTGCATTGCGTGCTGCCCAAACATTATTTTATTTTTCATCATTTTAGCAAGATTAGGGTGAAGGATTTCTTCCACTTTATGACATTACTTTTGATAGAACTTACAGTATATAGTATCTTTTAAATCCATATTCAGACTCTCTTTAATTTCAGATGTGTTTGTGACTGTGTGGATGTCTACAGGTCAGCTGTAAGGTCTTCCACAGAAAGACCATACCAAACTAATGAGCACTTCTGAAAAGCATGTTTTAAAAGCCTTCTAGCTTTTTCTGCCTTGAAACATCAGGCTGGGAACCTGAAATTACCTAAATTTTCTAGAGCAGCAGTCAGCTAATGTCACTGTCTTTTCCTTCACTGAAATCCTCTCCTCATCCACTAGACTGCCATTATTACAAGAATATGTGAATCAGAATAAAGTAAACAACACTTTCTTTAAATACAAAACCACAAATCGATACCTGAGTAGGCCTAACTTGTGCACCATCCGCGATACAGGTCAACATAAAAGAAATAGTCAACAAAGGAGAAATACTCCTTTTGAGCGTTTGGTTTTATGCAACCTTAATAAAGGCATCGTAAAACAGTCACTTTCCCAGGCTCTCCTTCTCATCCTAGTTTTGGTGTCTACCTTTTTAAGTCTTCATGCCTTGTGCCAATATTTATTATTCACTTCTGGAGCACCCATCAATATATACGGGATCCCACCGATTCTGTACAACAGCATGTGTATTGAGTTTGCTGGATCTCACAATATGGAGCTCAAGCAGGCCTGATCTTTTCCATCAATGTTACTTCAGATGTGAAAAAAACAGATGAAACTTGATGAGCATAATATGGCAGAAAGTCTCCAGGTAGTTATTAAGCCCTCAAAATTGTTTCAGCAAATCAAAATTGAAAGTTGTTTAATATTTGACTAGTACTTTGCGTAATGTGGCCATGGATTTTTGACCAAATGCTGGAAACAGTATAGCCAGATTTATTGTAGTAACAAACACAGCCTTGCTTAGTTGTCTTGTCTTCCAAATCCCAATGCCAACATCAGTTTTCTGTATTTCACTTTGCTGCATATGATTCATTCTCTTTCCTTTTGCCCAACTTCTTTCCCATTTTTTGCTATGGTGATTTTCAGGGAAAGTTTTCTTCCTCAAGACCTCATTTCTTGTCTAATACATTAAATGGAAAAGATCAATCACAGGTGTGTTTACTATCTGAAGATATCTCTAGGCTTGTTCCTTTCCACTAGCCCTTGGATTTTAATTATGTTTTTTTTCTATCACCAAAACTGTAGTTTTAAAATAGCTTTCTCTTACATCTAAAATAACAGGAGAATTTAATCTAAAAAGAAGAAAGTGGAAATCAATGTGATGTTATTTGCTTACCTGAAGTTTTAGGTTGCTTGTCCATTTGTTTTCCTAACTTTGTTTTATTTTGCCGTTTTTTTCCTTCCCCCTTTCTTAGGCTAAGGCAACTAGGATAGCAGTGATCACTGTCATCAAAGTTGATGATCATTTAAAGATATTTCCAAGTAGGTACTATTAAAGAATTATTCTTTTTTCCTAGGTGAGCCACAGAATGAAATCTTTCTCTTATATCTATGAGGAAGTTCTTGCAGATGGTGAGTTGAATTCCCCTTGCATTTACTTAGATAAAGCCGGTACTCTTCAGTTTTGTAGAGGAACAGGCCTTGTTCTCAAACGTGCACTCACACATCTATACCCACACATTCTTGTGAGAATTGTGAAAAGGGGAGAGGATTCAACAGGGACGTTTCTTTTTTCCTTTAATTTCAGAGTAGAGAAAGAGGAAGGCACAGAGAGCTTTCCTTTCATGTTACAAGCATGAAGAGTTTTGCTTGTAGTAAAAAGAGAGCTGATTGGAAATTTCAGATAGATCAGTCATACTCACATTTGCAGCAGACAGTGGTTGAGAGAAGCCCTGCATGATGACTTCAGTGACTGTTGCCATTTGTCATTCTGGTTTGTTTATATTTGTGAGAGCCTGTAAAGGCTTTTCTTAGCTGGAAGAACAGACTGGCAAAATCTCCACTTGCTTTTAGTAAAGAGCTACATAACATGTTTTCTGTCCCCAGTTCTTTCTTCAACAACTTTATTTCTGGGTTGACGCTGTTGCACCAGGATGAGTAAGTTATTTTGGAATTCCAGGCATAATAGTTCTATGCTATTGGACTCTCAGGTTACTGGCTCTGTGGATCTGTTTCGCTGGCAAGGTGTAAGGGCAGAAGGATGTTGCAAGCTTTCTGGCTCTTACTGGCACAAATTCAGTACACGTCAGTTGTGTATGGGATTTAGAATTTTAAATTGTTTAGTGAATTTTAAGACACGAGCATCAACCTGTGTGCTTCTAAATACTTCGTACAGTGCTTTAGTTCATAATGCAGAACAATCTTGGAGCATGTGAATTGGATTCCTTTAAGATAAAACTAAATGGGAAATTACACTCAGGGAGCTTAGTAGGTGCACCTCCAGTATTAAAAGGTGTGCATCGTACAGGTCTAGACCAGAACTAGTTGGAATTATGTCCCTTTGAAATGTGTATAGTGTGGAAGGGAGTGTTTAACACCAACTATTTCTGTACTAAATCTTCTCCTATTAGTCCCCCCTGCCTTTCTGATGGCGACTGTTCCTGACCTTCTTGCCATCTTGGATGTACTAGTGTCGTGAGTTAGGGCTGGGCTGGCCACTAAACGCGGACAGATGCTCTCTAATCCCCTCTCCCTCCCCAAACGGGAAGGAAAAGGGAATGAGAAAGAGAGACTTACGGATTGGAAAATATAAGATCAAAACAGCTTTAATGAATAAGGAAATAATAAAAATAGTGAACTATATACATCTATACAAAATTGATATAAAACCTGACTCCCTCCACCCTGTGGCAATTGCCACTGATACTTCAGAGCAGGCAGCACTGGAGAAGTCCCAGGCTCAGTGGCAGAGGGGAGCTGGATACGGGAGCTGGATTCAGGAGCTCAGGATTGGAATCAAAGGGAGAAGATCAGACAGAGTCCTCTCTGGACACTGGCCATTGCAGAAAAAAGAGACAGAAGCTCTCATGATCGCTCAATTTATGCTAAATATGATGTATATGGGATAGAATATTCTTGTTAGTCACTTGGCCTGTCTATTACCCCCTGCAGGTGCAACCTTTTACTTCATTGTGACCCCTCTCACTACCCGGCACCCCCAGCGTGGCACACAAGAGCCAGCAGTGGCCTTGATCACTGTAGGAATAAGTATCAGCAAGACCCTTTCTGCAGCCCAGTCCCAGGCAGTAACTGTAAACATCAGGTGTTATCACTGCCAGTAGCACACACTGTCTGCAAAAACATGATGCTGACTTCAGAAGGTGCAGCCTCTAAGAAAAGACTGAGCTGAGAAGTAAAAATCACTGAACAGAACTGGTTCTGTTTAGCTCAAACCAGGACAACTGATGTGATGGAAAGGTGCTGTAAAGCTGCACTGTTTTATCCCTACAGGCCTATTGTCAAGGTTTCTAAGGATGTTTCTGTTGGTCCTATGTTGAATGTGTCATGGGTCAGTGCAGTTGAAGTTTGTTGGTGTAAAGAACGCTTTTTGTCATTACTGGCTCATCATCCATGCATTCAATAAGCTGGCATCACTGTTCCTCTCATTCATGCTTATGATGTCCAAAAAAGGAGACAGTAAAAGATGGAATGGTAAGAGAAAGCAGAGAATCCCTAGAAAAGAAAGGACTGGGATGATGTTCCTCCAGGCTACTCCAGCTTTAAACCCTGCATCTCTTTGTGTGAATCTCTTTCTACTTTTCTATGAGGACTTTAAGAGCAGCTTTAAGTCCAAGTTTCCCATCATCTGACTGGCTGATGTTGTAATAAAGTGAACTGGGGATTTTCCAGCTAAGAAAGTATTGCATTAAAAGCAAAAATTTCACTTGAAACATATGCTGAAGTTGCCTGCACCACAGTTCTTGGCAGTCATCTTGATAGAACTGATTGCATGTAGTGTTTGCTGACTGATGATGTCTAGGTATTGGTTAAGAGGATGAAAGAGATTCTCAATTGCTGTGGTGAGTGGAAGGGCCAACTACAAAAGAGATATTCCCAAAATTGTTCTGTATGTGTGGTTATCGCTAACTCATGAATGAATGTAAGGAAATAGGTGGCCAAGATTTCTTCTGTGGTGGTGCAACAGGGAGCAGTTGTCTGATACCATTGCAGAACTTTGGAGGGAAAAGCAGCCCAAAGCCAAGAACGACAAGACCGCAGCTCCAGATGAGACAGTGTTTGTGCCCTGCAGAAAGTCAGTGAATCTTTAGGTAACGAGACAGGATTTGACTTTAGATGAATTGTGAAAAAATGTTTCTAGAGACTTTCTCTTCTCTTTGCTTCTTCCTAATAAGAAGGAAGTGTGTGCAGTGCTTAATTGTATGTATGACTCAAAACAGAAATGTCAGGAGAAATAATAAACCAAGAAAGGATTTTTGCTAGAACCCATTTTTCCTAGAACAGCACTTTATGTAAGGTCTTAAGTGGAGACTGGCATGCTGAAAGCTGAAGTTAGTTTTGAGTGTACAGGATAAGCTGAGAGAAGGTGGAATTTAGACTTGAACTGGAAGGGAAGTTGAAGAGATTAGAAGCATAATGCTAACTGAGAAATTTATGGCAACAAGGATGGTGGTGTGGTTTAAGTCCAACCGTCAAGAAACCACCACGTGGCCACCCACTCACTGCTCGCCCCCATTGGGATGGGGAGGAGAAAATGTAATGGAAGGCTTATGAGTCGAGATAAGGACAGGGAGATCACTCACCAGTTATGGTCACAGGCAAAGCAGTCTTGATTTGGGGGAAAAAATAATCTGTTTAATTTGTTGCCAATCAAATCGGAGTAGGGTAATGCGAAATAAACCCACATCTTAAAAACACCTTCCCTGACCCTTCCCTTCTTCTCAGGCTCACTTTGCTCCTCATTTCTCTACTTCCTCCTCCACAGTGGTGCAGGAGGATGTGGAACGGGGGTTGTGATCAGTTCATCACATGTTTCTGCTGCTCCTTCCTTCTCGGGGAGGACTCCTCACACTCTTCCCCCACTCTAGCATGGCTCCCTTCCATAGAGTAAAGTCCTGCAGGAGCAGACTGCTGCAGCACGGGCACAGCCCTCTTTGGGCACAGCCATCTACTTCCAGCATAGAGTCCTGCATCAGCTGTAGGTGGGCATCTGCTCCACCGTTAACCTTCATGGGCTGCAGGGGCTCAGCCTGTCATCTCACAAGCTGCAGGGAAATCTCTGCTGCATCTCCCCACCGTGTTCACCGACTTTGATGTCTGCATAGGTGTTTCTCTCACATCCTACTTCTGCCTCTGCTGCAGGCTTTCTTACAGATTTTTTTTGGTGTGGGGTTTTTTTTTTCCCTTCTTATATGTGATACCACAGAGGTGCTACCACTGTCACTGATTGGCTCCACCTTGGCTGGAGGTGGATCTGTGTTGGAGCTGATGAAGCTCCTTGCGGCTTCTCACAGGAGTCAACCCTGTAGCCCCTCCACTGCTGCCAAGACCTTTCCACACAAACCCAACACAGGTGGAAACAGCAGTGAGTGGATGGCAGGCCATGTAAATTAAAACAAGCCCAAAGCAAACTAAATTATATCTGATAAAGCAAAGATAGATGGGAATGAGCAAGAGCTAACAATCAATAAGAAGTGATTGACTGAAGTGAATTGTGCGAGGCCTTGAGGGAGAAGGTCAGACAGTACATTGGAAAATGGAAAAACAATATGATCACTGAGATCCTTTGGGGAAATATGAGTTACAAGCAGATGTGAAAACAATTGATTTGCTAGTGAGTGATGGAAAAGATCCGGTTGTGGAATGCTAATCGTCATGATGTGAATGTATGTGGACTCATTCCTGCAGGTGATAATGGAACAAGTCAGCTCTTTAGCCACTCAAACGTAGTTATGTGTTTACTTTTATTTCTGGTTTCTGTATAAGAAAAATAAACTTATTATTAGAAAGCTGTGTTTTTATGAATTCCCTTGTGGCTCCTCAGGAAATTTTCTGCTCCCCAAATAATTGTTATTTATGGTTTGTACCAAGACTGGAAGATTGAAACAATCTTACTAGGAATTGGGTATGCAGCCTTGTAACCACACACGTGAATGCCTTATTGTGGAATTGGCATTTGTCATTTTACCTGCAAAATGGAGCTAACACTCAGATTTAGTTACCCATTGGGTGATATTCAGCTTCAGAAAAGAGTGGTCTGCTTCTGTGAAATAGCTTTGTCTTTTTGCACATTTGCCATTAAGACTTGTATTGTAGCATTAATTAGCTGGACCAGTTATGGATGGGCAAGCAGAGCACAAAAAGAGGATTAAAAAGTAATAGCCAGGTGCCTGTTAAGTTTTACAGAAGACATCTTCTAGTCCTGCTCAGAGGTCTCATCAAACTAACGTATATGTGCATACTGTATTGTCTCTATCCTTTACATACTAAACTGGAGAGAGGCCAGCACAGTCCTATTTTAGTAAAATGTACCTGTTCTGAGGCCTAGGTGTTGAATTAAAGGACAGTATCTTAAAAGTTAAAGACCTCAGATTACTTTCCTAGTCATAACCCTA